CGTATCCCTTTCTCTGGACCGCTTTTCGCGGGAAGCCGCTTCTCTTTGCTCCCTGGGAGTGCGCGAACAGGACGGTCCTCTTCTCTGGAAAGTTTCTAGCCGCTACCCCTGCGCCCAGGCTGGAGAGGCGTCCCCACCTTCAGCCGCCTCTGAGCCATGGTTTCTCCCCACAACTGCCCTACCACGTCCAGGAGATCCATGGGCTGGCTCTGCTGGAGGTGACAGGCTTTGCTGGGTCCTTCTGTGTGCAGGAGTCCCAAGGTCGCCAAGAAGAGCCCAAAGGAGGGGGTTGCTAGCTGAAGGCTGGCCATGCGAGGACACCAGGTCCACGTCGTGGGGGTCTTTGGGCCTAGGCTACTGTGCCTCAGAGCTGCTTGGCTGGTGGGCAGGTGGGGAGGGATGGGGTTGGGGTGAAGGTGGAGTACAGAGGGGCCAGAATCCATGGGCGCAGCTGTCTGCTCCTGCTGCCCCTCGGGGGCCCCTGCCGGCAGGGACCTCCCAGGCATCCTAAAGCTTCCAGCACGTCTGCACCCTCCACTCCCAGTCTTGCGGGAGGCTCTGTCTGGGCCATCCGGGGCCTGATCTACTGCTGCTGCTCCCTCTGTCCCACAGACTGGATCCTGAGGGCCAGGGGAGGGGGCTCCTACCAGAAGGCTGGGGCTCTAGGCAGTGTCCGGGTGCCCAGCTGTGCCCATCTGACCTCATGACCACCCACGGGCTGGCACCCCTACAGGCTTCTCAGGGAAGCCTGTGCTTTCCACCGCCAGGGGGGAGGCACAATGTGGAAGCCAAGTTCAGGCTGACTTATTCTTTGCGGAACCTTGGGAACGGGCCTGGTCTGGCTAGGGTGTCCCAAGAGGCACAAACCAATGCCGCGCTCTCCTGAACGGTGCTGCTGTGCCGCCCACCAGCTCCAGGCCTCGGCCCTGGCATCTGTGGGGAGATCGTAAACGAGTTGATAGGTGCTGAGCGCTGTGGAAGGTGTCTGCGCCAAGGCAGAGGTATGTGTGTGTCTGCTGTTAGCAGTGTTTCTCTCACACTCTCATTCCAGAGCTGCCCCATAATTCTAGAGAGTGTGCCTGGGAGATGCCAGCTGTTTGGGGCCTAGAAATTAACTTCTGGGGTGTTTTCTTGTGCTGGGAGCTGTGAATACCTCCTACCTGAGCCGAGGTGGCCCAGGTCCCTCCGAGCTGTTCCCGGCCCTGCTTTTGTCTCCACTGGGAGTGCTCTGGTGCCTCGTCCTTGAGCACCAGTGTGCTAGGTGGGAGATCTGAGGCTGTTCCCTGGGTCCTGGATCTCCCTCTTGCAGCTGAGGGAGAGACAGGAGTGGGGACCATCCCCCACCCAGAGTCCAGGTTGACAGGAGTTAGGAGCAGAGGGGTGTTGGAGAAAGGAGTTCAGAAAGTAGAGTGAGTCTCCTGCTTGGGACGCGAGCTGAGAGGCATCTGTGGTTGTGGTGTGAGCTGCTGCTCGTGGCCACAGGGCCCCTTGCCGGTGAGTGGAGGCCCAGCTAAGGAAGCCCTTGGTGCCTTCTGGGCTGTCTTCCCTTCCCTCCCCTCCCTTGCCCGCTTCCCTACCCAGAGCACTGCCTCAACCCCCACTCCTCAGAAACGGAGTTCTTTGGTCCTTCCGCCCTCCCAGACCTTTTAGAGTCCTAGGATCCAGTTTTCTGGGCAGAGCCGAGAATCTGCTTTCAGAATTGTAACAAATCCTGAAAGGACCCTCCCTTCTCCAGCTGGAGCAGAGTGGCCAGACCTTCCTTCCTGTGTCCCAGCTTAACCTGTGGTCATATGTGGCTAACCGCCACTGGCCTCGCCTCTGCCGTGCACCGGCTGCTCACCCAGGCCCGGTCTGGGCACATTCTGGGTGAATTCCTCCTCTCAGAGCAGCTTAAAGGTTTGCCCGCGCTGTCTGGGGGAAGGGGGACCCTCCACCTCAGAATCATACAGAATGGTTCCAGCCCCCGGGGACGCAGAGCCCCTGCCTCCTGAAGGGGACCCTTCAGATCAGTGTCCCAGAGGGTCCCACAGTGTGAGGCCCAGACCTACAGACTGTGGCCAAGGCGGCCACCAGAGCCCGCTCCTCGGGGGAGCTGGGGAGCAGGGCACCCAGAAAGCAAACAGACCTCCCTCCTGATTCCTCAGCTGCCCCGTGGCTACGTGATTCCCTGCAGCCGATTCCCTGCAGCCGCTGGTTGGTTTCTTCTGCCCCTTGCCCTCAGGGTCCTTCTTGCTTCTCAAGACTCATGGCCTTGCCCTGAAATTTTTGGTTTTCTTGAGGAAATGACTAGGGCATGTGGGTTGCGCTGGCTGTGGTTATTAATTCCCCTCTCTCATTTGTCACCCCTTCCCAGAGGCCCTCAGCACTTTTGCATGAGTGTTTTGAGTACCCCTGGAAGGGCTGCTGGCCACCTCTGGCCTCAGGTTTGTTTCCTCCTGACCTCGACTGCATTCCCTGTGTCTGTGTGTGTGTGTGCACGCTGTGACGCACTTTATTCCACAGATGGAGGAAGTGGTCAAACGTAGCTACAAGTAGGAGCAGCTGTACATGATGCCTGGGCCCCAGGCAGGTGCCATGGGCCCCCGACTGGCGCCCATGAGCCTAGCAGGCGGTGGACTCTGCCAGGGGTGTGCTGGGTTGATTGCTCTTCAGAGTGAGGAAGGCCATTCAGAGCTGCAGGTTTTCTTTTAGTCTTGGCCCCTTGCCTGGGGACCAGGAGACCTACTGCTGGATCTCTGCCTCCCCACCCCTTGCGAAGGCACCCTACAGAGACAGGAGGAGACCGCTCTGGAGCCTGAGGCCCTGGCTGCTGCCGCAAGCCCCGCAGGGAGGAGGGCGCTGCTGCCCGGGCCGTGGGGTGTGCTTCTGGGCTTTGAGGGCGAGGAAGGCCTGGGAGTAGGATGGTCCCTTCTTCCTGCTGGCAGCTTCACTCCAAAACCTGAGTGGGTCAGGGGCTCCAGGATCTTACCTTCCCCGGGGAGGTGGGGTGGGGAAGATGGTTGTGCGCAAGAGGACAGAGAGCGGTTTGCAGAGGGCTGGGCCAGCGCACCGGAGTGTCTGCTTCGGCTCCAGACCCTCCTGCAGGGTGTGGGTTCCACGGCCCGCAGTGGTGCTCCTAGGGCCTGTGGTCTGACCCGTGTCCCCTGCCCGGACAGCGGCCGTAGATACCTGTCTTTACAACAGAAGGGACTTGGCAAATAACAGAAGTAGTGAGCATTTAACTATCAAGCTCTTACTAAAAGCCTGACCCCATAACCTGAAGAAAAAAAAGTGCTGAGCTGTCCACTTATTTACATCACTTCAGGTGAGCTCACACAACCCTTTCTTTAAACCCATTTGTAAATGAAGACAAGATTAAGCCACTTGGCCAAGGTCACACAGCTCCTAAGGCACTGCGCTGGGACTCACACCTAGGCCTGTTTCCAAAACCTGCACTTTTCAGCCCCGTTCTCTGCTGCTCCCGAGCTCATCTTACCCTGCCCTGTGATCCGTGAAGAGGCTGAGACCCAGAGGTGTGAAGAGGTTTGCTCAAGGCCACAGGGTGGTGGTGACAAAGGGGGAGCACGGCCCTCCTGATTCCCGGCCCGCAGCTCTCTGCAGTCCTGCACCCCACATCTGGCCCTGCCGGTCCTGGCGCCCCGTCCCCTGCGTCCTGTCCCGGCGTCCTGTCCCGGCCTCTCGAGCTGGGCAGGGTCGGGTTTGCCTTCCTCCCTCCCGCTGGGGCCCCTCCCAGCCCCTGCCAGGCCTCCACCTCTCCCGCTTTCCCGCCCGTAATTGCTTCCATCTGGCCTGCCCGCCGGCTCCTATTCCTTGGAAAGGCAGCTCCCCGGCTGCCGCCCACAAGGCTGCAAGGCCTCATCCGGCAACCACGACGACACGTGGGGAAGGGGAGGGGTCCTGCGGGGTCTGTGTGCCAGGGACCCTGGCAAGGTGGCTGCTCTCGGCCCCTGGCGTCCCCAGGTTCCTGCCAGGTCACAGCAGCTTTGCTTCCAGGCTCTCCCGGACCCCCGTCCTAGCCTGGCTCAAGGCCAGAGAGGCTCCTCAAAGACCCTTTTCCGCTCTGTCCCACCCTCAGGCCGCCGCCACCACAGCCCTCTCAGCTCGGGTCAGGGGGTGGGAGGCCTGGTTGGAAGGACCACAGGAGAGACGTGGGGGCCAGCAGGGGCCAGCTTTGGGAACCCACTGCTCAAGGGTCATGGGAGGGGAGCAAAGCAGGGGACAGACGTGGCAGAGGCCGAGGGACCTAGGAACCCTGGGCAGGTGAGCATGGAGCCTGCTTGTTTCCTTTGGTTCCAAGCAATTGACTGAGAACCAGCAGAGCTAGACATGAGGCATTATATTTTGTCATGATATAAAATAAAACTTGTAGGTTTAACAGTGCATTCAGTGCTCTGTTGACTCCCTTGCCTCTGCTGGGCGGGGAGGGACCCAGAGGCGCGCCTCTGCCTGTGGAGGGGCGAGTGCCTGGTTGCTGAAGATGAACAAGCTTAGACCCATGACCTTGACAGGGACCACCAGAGGAGATGCAGGCATTGGAGGGGCATGTTTGTGGTGTGGGTGGGTTTGAAAACTTTCAGGGCCTTTTCCTTCCTGAGATTTTCGGGTTTGGTGTGAGCTCCGGGAACCTGTTGGTGGGCGCCGTGTTCTTCATGCCTGGAACGATGTCTAGCAAAGAAGTGCTCAGTAAACATTTGTTTGATGAACAGAAGGAGGATGTAGATTGGGTTTTCTGACCTTGTCTTCTCTGTGGCCCTGCCTTGCTTCCCCTTTTTCCTGGGGTGAAGAGAGAGTTTCCCTTCTGATATCCGAGCTGTCTGTCCCAGGGCCCGGCCCCGCAGTCTGTTCAGACACCACAGAGGCAGGCAGGAGCCCGGGGGGTTGGACAGGAGTCGGCCCCCCAGGAGGGCATTTCCCCCTTCCCCCCTCTCCAGGCCAGCTGGCCACACTCCTGCCCCCATCTGTTGCCCTCCTCAGCCCAGCCTTCGGGTCCTTGCACAGACTGGTCCTTACCTCCCCTCCTGTCCTGACGTCAGCTGTCCCCTTATTTGGGTCCAAGAAAGGCGCCCCCAGGGGGGGGTGTCATCTCAGGAGTGTGGGCTCAGGAGGGGGCGGTTCACGCCTATTCCTGCTGGGACCCAAACAGCTCCACTCTATTCCTGCTACATACTGGGTTTCCACATAAAATTTCATTTGAAAGTGGGACAGAGGGTGTCTTGGCCTAAAGACATTTTTATTTGAAAACCCCCATTGGGCTTTGGTAAGGCTGTCCTTACATTCCCCACAGCATGCTCTCAGCTCCCCGCCTCTGCTCCCCTGTCCCCCGAATGGCTTGGGTGCTGTCAGCAGTCCGCTGTCTGGATTGCATGTCCTTCAGCATCCAGCTCCAGCCTGTTCTGAGGCCTCCCCTACAGCCCTGCACACTTGTCACTTACCCTTGCACCCTCACCCCCCCAACAGGTCCTAATCTGTCACATCAGGGGACCCTGTTCCCCAGGAGCCCAGAGGGGCACAAGCCGAACCAGACGGGTGGGCGAGGGCAGGGCTCTGAGACGGGTCATGTGCTTTGCCAGGCTGCAAGGCCCTGGGTCCCACGTGGAGCCTTGGTTTCCTCCTCTGAGTAAGTGACGCTTTTGAATGAGAGTGCATTTCAAGTAACATCCCAGCGCCTGGGGCCCAGCTCTGTATATGCGGGTGTGTTTTCTGTGACTCAGGGTGGGCCCAAGGCTGCCTTCCTTCTGGGCCAGGAAGTGGGGCAGGTAGACTGTCACCTGTGTGTGCTCCCAGCTGTGTGAATTGGGTATGTCTGGGGCTTTATTGGTCTTCCATCAGCACATCTGATAATCGGGCTGATAGCACGTGGGTAGCTCACGGGGCCTGGTGCACAGCTGACAGGCATTGCGAAGTCCAGGCTGCTGTTAGACTGCAGGGCAGGACTGGGACCGTCTCAGCCCCGTCGTATCCCCAGCACCCGGCACCGCACTGGCACACAGCAGCCTCTCAATAACGCTTTCTTTTTGCAAGAAAGGAGCTGAGACTCAGAAAAGTAACTTGCTGTTCAAGGTCACAGAGTGACACTCCCCCAGGCAGGGGCTGCCTCAGGAGGAATCCTGGGCCTCCCTGGCGCTCCCTCTCACCCTGCCCCTGTCTGTCCTTTCTCTGAGGTCCTGCTCTATCCTCCAGGTTCCAAGATCCCCTTCCCTGTCCTGCTGCTCCTGGACCCGCTTGTCCGACTGAGAGGGTGTGTGGGGGCTGCGGGGGTGCGTTCGTGGAGTGGGGGCACCCTCGCAGGCTGTGGGGGCCTTTTCTCCACACCGCCCTCCTTCGTCTGCTGTCCCCTCCTTGGTCCTTTTCCTCTTCTTTTTCCGACCCTTCTGCCTTCCCTCCCGTCTCCTCTAGATTTCTCTCACCTCCATCCTGGTCACCTCTCTTCCTTCATGTCTGCCTCCTCCCCTTTCCTTTGCCCTCCACCCTGCCCCACCCCAGGCCTCAGCATCCACGCCGTCCTGCCTGATGTGGCCGCTGGACTTCGGGTGGGCTGGGTCGGGACAGTGCAGTTTCAGGAGCACTTCTTGTTGGCAGCTCCAGCATTTTTGAGGTGGGCTTGGTAAAGGGGCAGTGCCTGCCCGAAGTGTGCGATGCTCTGATCTTAAGCTCAGCTTCCTGGGCCCTCACCCACCTCCTTGGACATCTTCCTGGGCAGGAAAGCAGAATCTCATTCCGGAGCCAGAGGGTCTCCAAAGAAGTGCTGGCTGGTGGAGCTTCTCTGGCCTCTGCCCTCTGCCCTCTGCCCTCCTCTCTCCAAAGCAGAAGCCTTCCCCCAGCGGCACCGGCTGGGATGGAGGAGGCTGGCCAGAGCAGAGAGGTTTCTGCTCAGAGGCCTTCCAGGCGAGCACACACGGTGCATGCGCACGCGTGTGTGTGCACATATAAGTGTGTGGATGAGTGTGTACGTGGGCTGTGTGGGAGAGAACACGGACCTGCATCCATGTGTGGATGCGCGGGTGGGAGTCTGGACTCCCCTCTGGGCCTTTGCCGTGCAGCCCTGTTCCCAGCACAGAGCTCTGCTCTCTGGGCTTTGGGGCCCTGGCTTTGCACCGAGGCTTTGTTCTGTCCTGGGGACCGGCTGGTCCCCTGCTGTGGTCCCACGCAGTGGTGACTGATCTCTGGCCACCCATTCAGTTGCCTGGGGAGCCTGGGGCCAGTGTTTGACCCCACCTCCCAAAATGGGGGCGCGTGGGGGCTTCCTGCCTGGGATCTCGACCCTGCCAAGGCGGAGGGAATGGGGAACAGCTGCGCTGGCCGATCCCGGCTCCGTATGGATTTGGTTTGACAACAAAGCTCCCTCTGTGTGTTCTCAGGACCCTTACATAACCGGGGGCGGGGGAGGCAGGCAGGAGAAGCTGGAGATGGGGACAAGGAGACACCAGGATGGGGTGGTTGGAAAGGGGACAGGGACCAGGAGGAGGAGGAGAGGGAGGGCAGTGAGAGAGACCAACCGTTGAGAAGCGGGGAGTGTGGGATGAGGGAGGAGAAGCACTGACCCTGCAGTTCTGCTTCTGGCCTCCTAGGGTGGGAAGAAGCTGCGTTTCCAGGTCCTCTGACCCTGCCCTGTTGATGCCTGCCTTCCTTTCTGGAGCCCCACCTGCCAGCCCTGGAGCTGCAGAGGAGGGGGCTGTGGGCCTGTCTGGGAGTGAGGCCAGACAGGGTTTGGGGCTGGGCCGGAGAGGCCGTCCTCACCCCGCCCTGTAACCGATCACATTCCCTTAAGATGGGAACCCTTCTCCGCTGGTGCCCTCTGGCCTCTGTTCCCTCCTCCTGGGCCCTGGACCTGATCCCAGAAGCCCCTCTGGCTCCCTCTTTGTAGGGCCGCAGCCTCTGCCTGTCCTTGTCGAGCAGCCCCGGGCCCCCGGCTCCAGAGCCTGGGCCCCCCCTCAGAGGCCCTGTGGCCCTGCTCCCTGCAGCCCCCTCCCTCAATAGTCAGACATTCTCTTCTCACCATCACTGTCCCTGCAGCTGCCCAAATAGAGGGAGAAGAAAACGTTCTCTTTCCGGAACAGCTGGACTGACAGGCCGGGATGGCCAGGTGAGCTGGCCAGGCTTGGGTGTGTTCTCGGGGGTGAGTGGCACCCTGTCCCAGGGCCCTGATCCTGCCGCTCCAAGCACAACGTTCTTGGGAGGGGCCGGGAAGATGGACGGGTCCTCTGGCCTCCCACCTTCTGGGTCTGTGTCTCCTCCTTGCCTCCGTTTCTCCAAGTCTTCTTCTGCCACAGGCTTCCTTGGAGAGAGCCCTGGATGCGATCTGGCCCAGAGGGTGGTGTTCGTCCCCAGCCCACAGCGGACTCACAGCTGCTGCTCTTCCAGCTTGAGAACAAGGATGGCTTCTGAGAGGGCAGAGTGGAGGAGCTGCGGGCCAGGCCCAGGATTAGAGGAGACTGAGGATGTGTGCCCAGGGACATCCTGTAGGACCCCAGGCCAGCAGCTCTGGGGAGAGGCAGCGTGGGCGAGGCCCAAACCGGCTCAGCAAGCCCTAGACCTGGAATCCTCAGTCCCTGGGCCCTGACTGCCCGAGTCCTGCCCTCCCTCTAGCGCCGCCACCCCCAGAACTGGGTGCCAGGACATGCTGGAGTTGCTGATGCCTTGGGGCTTGAGCCCAAAAGGGCTTGAGCAGTGCAGAAGGTGGCAGGGGAGGGCCTCAGAGTTCCTGGATTTGTTTGTGGGAAGATCAAGATTAGGAGCAGGTGCACAGAGGCTGGGACAGGCCAGGAGGATGGTGAGTGAGTGTTGGGTGCTGTGCAGTGCCCTCCACTGGGGTAGGGCCTTCTGCCCCATGCCTGCCCTTGGCCACGGGCTGCCCCCGGACACTCCCTTGTCCCCAGACACCCCTTTAAGGCTGCATATCCTCCTCCTTTGCTTTTATGACCCCCCACACCCCACCTTCCCAGGTACCTCTCAGCTTGAAAGGGGCAAGGCTCTCTTTCTGGGATCTGGGCTTGGCTGCCCCAGGGCTTCCCTTTACTCAACTTTTGGAGGTGAAGAGATCCCCAGAGGATTGGCTTAGCCACTCCCTGATCCTCTCGCAGCTCCAGGCTCCCTGGCTGGTAGCCCAAGGGACCTGAAACCTGACAAACAAACTGGGCTGGAGCCGCAGCCGAAGTTGAAGGAACCAGCGGGCAGTGCCCTGCACGAGGGATGGGGGAAGAGAGCGGCCTGGCAGAGGGGGCCCAGCAGGCCCCGGACGCTGTATGTTGAGGGTGGTGGTGGGGCGGGCAGGGAGTGGGGGAAAGGAGGAGTGTGTGTGTGTGCACGTGTGTGCGTGCGTCTGGGGGTCACCACGTTCCTCTGCTCTGGGGTGCACTCTTGTGTTTGAACAGGGATCCTTGTGTTTGTGCTCAGAGTTGTGCTTGTAGGCTTTCAACACAGAGGGTCCTAGTGGTCCAGAGCAGAGTTGGCCTGAGAAGGTCTTCAGAGTGTCTTCCGGTTGCCTCCTGGCTCTGGGGTGGTTGGAGCTACGGGTGCTCAGATCTGCCTCCACATTTCCCCGTAGAGGCTGGTGAGCCCTGGGGCAGGGGGGCCCTGGGGCATCTCGGACAGCCTGAGCATCAGCCAGCCCTCCTGCCGGCAGACCCACCTGCTCTGCCCTGGGTCCTGCCCCAGAAGGACTGTTGCTCAGACTGGAGGGTCTGCACCTTCCCCAGCAACACCTAGAAGGCTGGCCGCCCCTCCCCTCTCCTCGTCGTTAACCTTTACTTCAGGGAGAGTGTGTATACAGCTCATTCATGGAAAGTCTTACCAATGCGAAATGACCTCAAAAGGGCCTCTCTTAGTGGCGTCTCTATTCCTGGGGGACAGATGCGGGACGCGGGAAATGGAGGTCTTGTTTTCCTGGTCTGTGGCTTCATTTCTCTTCCAGAGACCCAGCCACAGGGGCCTGTGCTGCCTGCCCCCCACCAGCCTGCACCACCCTCTCCCTTTGCCCTAATCCGACCCTTAGCAGCTCTAACCCTGTTGTGCTCCTAATAGAAATTAAGACGTGCGCTTTCTCGTGCTGACACCCTGCAGCCTCCTTCTTTCAGAGCCACCGCTGCAGGCCAGTGTGCATCACAGTGCTGGCCAGGGGTTCTGGTGAAGAAAGGAGGGAGGCTCGGGTCCTGCAGAAGCCAGAGCCCTACTGGAACTCGAGGTCAGGGGAGAGAGGTTTCTGTGCCTGAATCCCTGCTCCCAGATACTCCAAAACGTTACCGTGCCGACAGCCACCCTTTGTGGTTAGAGCTGGAATTTCATCCACTTCTACAGGGATCCCCGGGCTGAACTGGACTGTCCCTGCTCGGGGACGTTGGGAGTACCAGCTCTGGAGAGGGGACGGCAGCTAGCAGAGGGAACATCGTGCTGGAAATGAGGCGGTGTTCCAGTGAAGAGGGCTCAACTCTGGAGCGGCTGTGGGGAGGGGCTCTGCACTGGCAGGGGGTCTGTGGCCATGCCCCACTGCGATGGCTTCAGGTGGACAGGTCAGGGGCCTGGGCACCTTCTCTAGGAGGCGCTGCACTCAGGAAGGGAGAGCAGCTTCTCCAGTGAAGCCTCATGCCCCTCTCCCCCACCCCCTCCTCCTCCCGACCCTAGCAATGCACCCTGAACCTGGCTAGGACGCGGGATGCGCTTTCAGTGCAGGGCAGAGCCTGGGTGTCAGTACCCCTGTCCCCCCTGGCAGCTGCGCATGCCCCGTTTAGCGTGTGGGGTGGACCCAGCGGCTAGGAGTGTGGTTGTGGTTGTGGTAGCAGGTGGGAGCTGTGGACCCCGCCGTGTGCCGGCCTGGGGCAGACCCTCAGTGGAGAGGGGCGCCCAGGGAGGCCCAGACCAGGAGTCTCCTTCAGCTGCCAGGGCCAAGTGCTTGCTCTGGGCCAGGCTGGTACTGAGACTGTGGACTTTCCATCCCAGGAGGTGTTTTGAGGCTCCTACACCTCCCAGAACTTGTTCTTTTTTTTTTAACATTTTTAAAATTGAAGTATAGTTGATTTACAATGTTGCATTAGTTTCTAGTGTACAGCATAGTGATCCAGTTGTACGTACATATATATGTATATATATTCTTTTTCATATTTCTTGTTACAGGCTTCTACAAGCTATTAAATACAATGTCCTGTGCTATACAGTAGGACATTGTCGTTCATCTGTTCTGTACATAGTTTGAATTTGCCAATCCCAAAGTCCCAGTTTACCCCTCCCTCCCCGCTCCCCCCACCCCCCGTAACCACGTTTGTTTTCTCTGTCTGTGAATCTCTTTCCTCCAGAATTTGTTCTTGCCTCCCCCCCCCCATTTCACAGCTGAGGAATCTGAGGCCTAAGAGATGCAAGACCTTGTCCAAACTGACCCCAGGCAGTTCGCCCCAGTCCATGGATACCCAGAGCTGGGCTTCCGGGCAGTTCAGACTGCTTGAATTCTTTGTTTCTGGTGACCCTGGGACCTTTAATTTATTACTCATCTTCCTCATCTGTAAATCAGAATAAAAGAGGACTACCACGTAGAATGTTTTAAAAATTAAATAAGATTATGCACAAGAGCTGCAGAACCGCCCCAGGAATCTTTTAAAAATGAATCCAGGGTGTTCCTCTGTCAATACCCTCCAGTGACTTCTGGGACCTTGCATAACGTCCAGGTTCCCGGAGTGGCCTGTGACATCCTGGACTGTCCAGCCGGCGGCTGAGCTGGCAGCCATGCTGGCCCTTCCTTACTCACTGTTTGCAGGCACTTTGGACTTGTTTCTGTTCCTCATACCCGGCAAACCACAGGCTCTTCTTTAGGCCTGGAAACACACCCACCTCTGTGGTCTGAGGTCAAGAGCCGGCTCCTCGCTGACCCTCCCTCCCAAGGAGCTGCTCTGTTTCTGCTCCACGGCCCCGTCCTGTTGGCCTCACGGTGTGTTTCGACGTCACATTTTCTTACTCACCTCTGTATTTGTCAGGTGTGTCTCCCTGCCCCCAGGCGTGCCCAGGCCTGTTACCTGGTTTCCTGCCCTAATGAAGTCCCCGCACGCAGGCCCGCATGCCCTGGCGGCTCCGATTTCTGCTGAACGGCCCAGCTTCACCGCGTCCCTGGGGCCGCGGGACCCCAGCCTGCCTTGGGACAGGGCTGTTCTTTCTGACAAGCCCTTCGGAGGAGCAAGTGGGGAGAAGGGAGGTGTCCCCGTGGCTCTCCTGGCCTCACACAGGGCTAATCCTCAGGGCGACCTCACTGAGAACATCACCCTGATGGCCTAGGTTTGGGAAGTGGGTACGGATGGCCAAAGGTGGCAGGACTCAGTTCCCTACAAACCACTTCTGCTAGTCAAAAGGGTATCTTTGTGCATTCAGAGGAAATGATGCACACAAAGATACATATGGATGGGTTGAGTAGGCCAGCCTTCCCGGGGCCAACCCCCGGTCTGCAGACACTCAGATCTTTGCTCTGGGCTCTTTATAACTTGACAAAGAGATTGGAGGAGGGTTAAAGTGCTCCGCTGCTGGCCCATTCAGAGCCTTCATGGAAAGCAGGATAAATGGTCCTGCAGTTGAACACAGCCCTGCCCAGGACGATGGTTTGACAAGCCGAGGGAGGGCTGAATTTCAGCCCCAGCTTTCCCCGCCAGGCCTGACCATGCACGTCCAGGGTGCACAGCCATGCCCAGTGGCCCTGCCCCTGCCATCCCCTGTCTGCAGAGCGGGACAGAAGGAGGGACAGGAGGGCCCGTGCCCACTGGACCCGTGAGAGGGAAAAGTGATGCAGGCTCTGGCGTCAGGCCGGCTGCTTCCTCTTCTCCATGGTAACAACCTTAGAGCTGCTCTTACCGGCATGTCCAGTCACCCTGGGAGGAAGTGCCCTGCTTTTATCTCCATTTGACCCAACAGAAAACTTGAGATCAGAGAGGTAACTTGTCCAACACCTGTGCAGCCTGGAAATGGTTGATCCGGAATTCAGGTCTGGGTGTGTCAGATGCCAGAGATTACATTCCTTGTTTGTTCCCTCTTCTCTTAGCACAATTTTAGTTGAAACTGTATCACAGTCACTAGTTAAAAAAATTAAACATAAAAAAGAGTGTATGATTATATGAT